ATTAATTGAATATTTTTTATATAAATAATATTAAAAATGGTATAAAAATTTTATTTAAATATTTTAATACTACATGGCAAAAAAAAAAAAACTAAATATTTTAATTAACAGAATTAAATATTTTTTCTCCTAAACTTCTTAATCCATGAATAAAAAGAATTTAAACGAAATTAATTTTAATTTCTTCATATTCTTCTTTTTCCTCAACCTTATCCTTCTCCTTATTCTCATCCTCGGCATCCACCATCCTCTTCAACTTCAAGTCTTCATCATACTCACGGAATCCAATTGCTGGGTTCCTCGAAGAACCCAATTTTTGGGTAACTTGGGGATCTGGGTTCCCCAAAGAATCCATTTCTGGGTTCTTTGAAGAACCCAGTTTTTGGGTTCTTCGGGGAACCCAGGTTCTGGGTTCCTCGGGGAACCCATTTTTGGGTTTTTCGAAGAACCCAATTTTTGGGTTCCTCGCGGAACCCAGATCTTGGTCCCCCGTTCCCGAAGAACCCAGAAATGGATTCTTTGGGGAACCCAGATATGGGTTCCTCTGACCCTCTTTTTTATTATTTTTTTATTTTTATTTTTTTTTAATTTCGAATGTATATATCTTCCATAAAGGAGCCGAATGAAACCAAAATTTCATGTTCAGATGTGTTCGATATTTGGGTTTGATATCTAGATTTGAAATTACAGGTAACAGGTTGATGTTGTTGTGTTCATGTTGCTATGAGTAAAGCAAAGGAGCTGTTTTCCAGAGTGAAGGATCTATTTTGTAGAGGAGAAATTAATGTTTAAAGGATTGATAAATTATTTTAATTAGTAATTAATTTTTATTTTAAACAATGAAAATATTCTTATGAATTGTGGATTATATCTTGATCAATCTCATATATAAAAGATTGATTATAAATGAAAAACAAGAATTTTGAAAGAAGGAAGATGATAGCTGGAAAGGGAACTGCAAACATTGACTAGGGTTTGCAGCAGAGTCATTAAATGAGTCATTAAAGTCCACATAAGCGTCTTTACAAGGTGGAATGTCCATGTCGGATGTTGCTATTAAGATAACATGCCACATCAACAAAATTTAACGGAAGGACCAAAAAGGGGGTCAGATTTTAAAATTTAGAGCCTAAAAAGGGGATTTTTTCTGTACAGGGACCAAAAAGGAGCTTTTTCCTATAGTAGAGGGATCAAAAAAGGTATTTAACCTACAATTTTATTATAAAAATATACGTTATTACATTCTTAGACAAACCTTTTAAAAAAATGGAGTAATTATTATGTAATAGAGGTAAAATTGAAAAAAAAAAAAAAGACTTTCATTTTATATTGAAAATTTAAATTAACAAACAACAACTTTTTTTTTTTTTTGAAAAAAAAAAATTAACAACCAACAACTTACGTACTAGTTGCTAAGTGATAATTTGCTTCTCGCAAAAGTAAAAGTGAGTTTAAGGATGTGAGAGGGTTATTATTTATTATGCAACTAAAATAAAAATAAAATTAAAAATTAAAAAATAAATCATACCATCTCTTTTTTTATGGTGTGACAGATAAAATAGGATGGTATAAGTTTAACATTTGCATAACTTTTATTATGAATTGTGGTCGTTAACCAGTTGTCATTCTTGTTTTGGAACAAGATGTACCTTCGCGGTGATATGGAGGGGAGGAGAGAATGGTATTCAGTCATTTCAGACCGATTTATTGGTCTGAAAAAGATAGAA